TATAGTGACCAAACACATGATGTAATACAAAAGTGTAGGTATTTATTCAAAATACACTAATTGTCAATCAGCTTATTCACTAACACATGAGTACATACCTAAATGGAATATTTTATTCTACTATATATATGTAATATTATTTACAAAAAAAATGTAAGCGACATGTCAATTTGACAAGCAATTGTTTTCATGGTTTGTTGCTGCATTTTTGTGATTACATAGCAAATAGTATAGAGATAAGATGTGAACTTTTGATTGAAAAAAGAAAATTATTTGGTTAAACCATGAACTTGCATTGGCTAAAATGATCGAGATACATGTTGATATTGTCACATCTGCATCTACTTTTATATTAGTACTAGCTGACTGAAACCAATACTTGAAACATGGTTTGTTTCATCAAATAGAGTGGTCTTAAGAATTAAAAAAGAATTCGATCAAAAAAGTTCTTTAAAAGTGTTTCTCAAGATTTCAATTTTCCTTAAACTGTTTGATTACAGTAAATAGCATTGTTAAAGGTTGTGAAATTTTTCATAACAGTATTTAAGCCCATTGACAAAAATGAGCTACGTGACGTCGATAATGGTCATTGCTAAAAAGATTCAGTAGTCTTCTAAAATAATTTCCAGGCCCTTTATATGAATTTACATTATGTAGTCATCAGAATACTTAATCAAGTGTGACATTTATCCGAAGTAATCTCATTTCATGCCTTAATCAATAGATAATGACTAACAGTAACTAGAAACAATATAATCATAAGCAATATCTATTTTAAAGTTTTTCTGATATACGGTAAATGAAATTTTACTATGTTTAATATTCAATAATTTTAATCAAATTATTTTCTCTTTTACAAAAGTTAATGTTTAGTTTATTAAAATTCCGTTAAAGTACTTTTTTTGTTGGAAAATCACTTCATCATGACTCAGTGATCTTATCTTTTAAACTAAGCTTTTATTCTATGAATGTGGGAAGCCACTGTTGAACAAGAGACAAATTGTATAGTACGAAAGTACATAGATGAATTGATTGTATAAACTTATAATATGAAGAGTTGACAAATGAATCAAAGTTTTAGTTAATATATTTGTTGTGTAAGTTTTGATGGTGATTTACTTACAACCATGAATATATTTTAATACTTATTTGCGAACTCCAGAAATTTCATTATATCTCTAAGACTAGAATAATGTTCTCTGGTGGGTTGTTGTCTAGTAAAAAGTCTACACAAATTCAAAACGTCTAGTTAGATTTTGCCAGATTGCATCTTTTGCAGAGTAGGTGACATGTTCGACCACTAGTAAAATGATGAATATACTAAGCAGCAGTTCACTCTGTTGTGAAAGATATTTCTCAAAATAGAGTATACTTGTAGGTTACTGGTTATTAAACATAAATGCTTTTGAACCATTGTCTGTGTATTCTGAGATTAATGAGTGAGCGGTGATGAGGCTAGACATAAAGCATTAAGTAAGAATGACAAATCAATCAATTAGATAGTGAACCTTGGTTGAATGAGGTGATTGAGACATTTATTACGTGTATTCGACAACCGCCAACATCGACGCACGATGATGGATGATGTGATAGTGTATTGAAATACTAGAAGTGCTTAAATCAAGAAGTAGCATCAGTCACTGACTTTTGGACTACGTCGTGTAAGTAAATGAAAACTGCCTTGTTAAAAACGACGTGACTGTTGTAACGAGTGTTTCAGATATTGGGTGACATCGATCAGAACCATCATATACAGCAGAACATGATCATTTACTCTTTGTTTTACTTTAGATCCTAAACTTCTTAATTATCTTAGGAAATATTTTATAAAAATACATATTTTCTTTAAGAGTCAAACATTCTGTCTCCAATTTTTTCAACCACTATTACACTCAATAACAATCGGGTCATACAATTGATTTCAACGGCACAAAAACCCTTCAAAAATGTTTTAACTCTCATAAAGAAAGACTAGCAGTTGAAGCTCTACACATATGGGCAAATCCAAACAGTATTAATAAGAGAAATGGCAACGAATAATTAATAAGTAAACCTGAACTCCTTATTCCTTTTTTATCTATCTCTTATTATCTGAATAACAACAATTATATTGAACGGTTCGAATCAGATGTCTTATCTGAATATGTTAAACAATTAACTGGAACAATAAAAATAACACAGACATACATTTACAAATACATTCTTTCTCTTCGAATTCATTCATTTATTTTGTTTATTTAGCTTCATTTGATTAATAACATATATAAAAATTGTGTTTTCCTAAAAATTCACCGACCAGAGGCAACATATAGTGAATGAAATTTCTTCGCACACCACTTAAGTATATATACAATCTGCTGTCTTAACACCTTTCGTTTCACACCACAAGTCTCTTGAACCCTAAAGAAAATACCTACTTTAAGTATTGTTAACGTTGATTGGATGACCTATTTAATATACTGTGAACCGAAGAACTATGTACCTATTTATATTCAATAATTTTGATATTTGATTACATTTCTTTGAAAAAGCTTGAATCATTTACTAAGCAAAACGTTGAATTTACTTCAAATTCATTCACTGGGATTCTACAAATACGTTCTTTCTCATTAATCTAAAAATTAATATTGTTATTACCTATACTGTACTGACATTTCGCTTGCTAATGTGGTGTGGTAACTTGAATTAATGCATATACGTGCCAAATACTGTGTTGCGTAAGACTGATTGACTTTAGAACCGTTGAAACAAGCTCAGAAAAACTGGAAACAATAAATCGTTCGACCGCGTGCTGTTTTACGATAGCAGATAAAACAAGTATAAAAAAGTAAACCCATAATTAGTTTTCTAAGGATTAAACAAGATTTCAAAACAAGGTATGGTGTTATAGTAGACTTTAGCAGACGTTCCACAAATTTTAGTTAATAAAACTGTTGTCAAAAAATGGCGCTTAAAACCTGTTTAGTGATACATTTACACTTCATCAATCTAAAACAGTGCAACTGCTCAAATAATTAAGTTACAAAGAAAATGGTTATGACAGTACGTTTTAAAGATTATAACGAGTATTTGAGCGATATTTCAGTTGTTGCGGTTGGAAAGAATGATGCAGAAATTTAATATCACATTTTCTTCACAAGACTTAATAATGTTATTATGATGTTCAAAAACTAATCATTGGTTATCGAAACATGAGCTAAATAATTTAGAATTAGAACCTTACTGTGATGAACATGATTAAAATTTATCAGAAAATAAAACTTTTGCATTATCACGTTTCAAAAACTGGCCTTAGAAGTTGTGCATATTAATGTCCTTTCGAACGGTGGAAAATAGTAATTAAATGCATATTTTTGTTGTAAAACGGTTTTCACCTAAGCTGCCAAACTCTACATATATTTAATAAGATGAAGTCAACTAGTCGTAAAACAGAAATGTAAAAACAATTGTTTTAGCAGCACTGAGAAATTAAATGGAATAAAATCTCAAAATGGATTAAACTGGTTAATAAAAAGTTAGTGACAGTAATGCGTCCAACGTAAAAACTTTCAAAATGATGGGAGCGCCTGAGTCAATACAGACCAATTTAAACCATATGATAGAATCTAAAACGATTTATTATGGTTATCACCTAGACCGTGTAACAGAACTGGAGGATGCAGATCAACACTCGTTGACTTTACTTACTGAAATTATTTCTAACCTTTATTGTGCTAGCCGCCATGTTACATAGAACAGATCATGAATGAGCTCATGTTGAAGTTTCACATTTACACTGTTGAATGCCAGCTCAGTGGTCTAGAGTTTAGGCGCTCGCGAGAAAGTTCAAAGATCCTGGGTTTGAATCTCCCGTGTGAGATCGTAGATGCACACTGCTGAGCCGTCGCATACTGGAATCGGACTTCATTCAGTGCTTCCAGATTTTTCACAGTAGTATAGCTTTAATTGGCTCGTGAACTCAACTATTAAATATCTAACTCACATTAGCCAGTCAAGATTGACAACTTCCTTAGCCAATGCCCCAACTTTGTATAAACACGATAACAGTCAAATTAAACGGGTGGTTATACTACGCAAAAGCAACTCTTCAATTTTATATTTGTTACTTATCCACATTTTCTCTCACAACCGCATTTTACGGTAGAAAGTAACCCAATACATGCTTTTTGAAGTACTTACATTCTGTGGTATACAGTAAGTGAACATTCTATTTGAGCTTTTACCCTAATCGCTGGAAACGCTACTGAGACTTAGTTACTTTCTTCAACCACAAACAGTAGAAAACGAGACTTCGGCCTAAAATCTGGTAGTTTTACTTTGATATTTTACTGCTTGACATGGTAAGACCTCGTACGACAATTGCATAAGTCCATACAGCTCTTTCGAGTTGCCTAGTAAAAAGAACGAGAACACCACGTCACGTCGTCAGTCCTAATTGGTGAAAAGAAAGTTATTCCCTAATATTCTACCATGATTATGTCTAATATATATGTCTAAGCTCTTTTTGGCTTCACATGCAACTTCATTAAATGTCTTTGAACTGTTCCAGAAGTCGCAATGCCCATTTACGTGTAGATGTACGACAGAATTAAGTTTTAGTATGAAGTACAAAAAGTATATAGATTTTCCACATAGGTCTCAAGAAACAATTATATTGCAGCAGAATAATTGGTACTCAAAGCTCGAGTTCCGAACATAATGCTATGATAATTAAAATATCTACCGAGAGATGAAAAGTCGAAGGACGTCCAGGATAATAGAAAACAATATGCTACAAATTCGTCGTAAGACATAAAGTAAGTTTGTGCCTTACAACAAAAGCGCATAATTGCCTTGAAAATCCTCAAAATCCGGAGATTGTAATTAATTACAATCTGATTCAATTGAATTAGTTTATCAACTCGCCTGGAGTACAAAACGTTTTTGCATTTTCAAAATGAGCTTTAAACCGTCAACAGGAAAATTAAACGAGTATATTTGGGACTTGAGTATGAACTTACCAATATTAACGCCATTTACTTCTACTACGTAATCACCATCTCTAAGACCAGCCGCAAATGCAGGAGATTGTTGATCGACCTCAGTTATATAGTGTCCGACCTTGCCCTTTGTCGCCTGTAGGCTAAATCCATAACCTGAATAATTTTCCCACTTCTGAAGAGTGCATAGTCGAGCATAATACTTTCTAGGCATTTTGAAAAGGTCATATAACGCGCTATTGACACTGACACACACTAAAATTATTCACGATTGTTTAGAACAAAACGTCCTTCTCAAACCATAAAAACTTCACCAGGCACTCGACTGCGACGTTTTACTGATAAATAAATAACGTAATTCACGCATGAGGTGTTTTTCAACCATATATAACCAATAACAACTAACATCCAAATTTAGCACTCCATTCTAGCACTTTGTTTCAAGAGATCCAAATCAATGTGTTGAAAGTATAACCTGAGTACTCACGAATATTTAATGAACACATCGCGCTCGATTTCAGTGGTGGTAGATGCACTTATGATTTCTTATTTCGTGTTTTGCATTACGGCATATAAGGTTACATTGAAAATTACGACGACATTCATCAAAGCTGAAAACCAATATGACAAACTTATTATATTTATACACCGCAAAAATGATCTGCCTTTAGTGGTAACCCACACTTTGAGCTCTAATAGATTGTACAATATTATAAAACAACTAGTTTTAAAGACTTTGGATTCCTTAGTGCTTTGTAATTTAATTTGGCATTTGCTGCTGGTAGTTGTCCCTAAGTTTACATTGATAAAAATTTTCATTCAGGTCTTGAGACAAAATAGTTGTAAAACGAGGTTTCATTGTAAGTCCATTAATTTTTCAAAATTCACTATTGCACAATAAGAAAGTACAGTCCTTATTAAGGTAGTAATTAAATGCTTGTATTATGATTTTTCGACTTTATCAAGAGAAATTTGTTAGTTCTGAAACGCCCAATCGAACTTGTCTCAGTCTCTTTATCTTTATCATCAATGAGGTGCTGTGCAGACCTTCAAAAAAATTAATAAATGCTCGACTTACGACCTCATTGAGCTGCTTTATTAAGAAGACTTCTTCACAGACTTTTTCAAAGAAACTACACATCACAAAATAGGTAGTGCAGTACTTCCCAATTATTTAGAATTTAACAGTAGATCGCTTTTTACGTTCATCTGGTTAACACTATTCCCCTGTAAACTAAACATTCAAAGGAACGAAGCAAGCAGAACAACCCTATTTTTGTAGCCTGAAAAGAAATATCGATGTCACTGGCCCTAAGACGAACTAACAGTCAGGAAGGTAAGCTGATATTGCAATTGTTCATTATTGTACGTTTATTACTAAATATGACTCTTGAATCATCATATCTGAAACCACAAAGAGAGTCATTTTTTCAATTTGTGCTCATACAAACCTCTGGAATAAACGGTCTGAATTATGGCACATCTGCTGGAATTTATTAATTATCACAGATTTAGCTATTTAACCAGACTTCTCAAATCTATTTGTTCTATTTTACCGAAAGAACTGTATGAATAGCTATACCTCTCACATAATTCAATGGTATTAACAGTCCATTTACTTTTGTTCGTTAATTATTATTACTGAGGAAGCCATTCATTTACTTTTTAACTCAACAGCTTATTTCTGAAATTTCCATTCCTAATCTAAGACACAGGTTAATCATCTTATTGAAGACTTTCAGATTTGTGTAGTAAGGACAGAAGGCCTACGGCCTATGTTATTCCTTTTCTAGTATGCTTCTGTGAGTGTCCAGTCTTCTCTTGAAAGAGTCAATTGAAGGTGCGGATACCACTGCTTCAGGCAGCAGGTTCCAAGTATTGATGACTCGGTGTGAAAACCTGTATGCCAGGGGTATTTTGTTCGTTCTTGGCTTTTCTACTCGCCTGCTATGTCCTCTGAGGTGTCCCGATCTAGTGGGAAGAAAGAGAGAGAATAAGTTAGGTCCGAAATCATTTCTTAGTATTCTGTACATCAATATTAGATCTCCCCTTAGTCTGCGATAGGACAGAGTAAAGAGGTTCAGTTTTTCAAGCCGCTCTTCATATGATAAACTCCGGAGTTCCGGAATCGCACGCGTAGCTGCCCTCTGTACCTTTTCTAGTATGTCTGAGTCACCTTTTAAACAGGGGCTTGCAGCCTGAACACAGTTCTCTAACTTAGTTCTCACTAAGGATGTGTATAATGTGGTGAACATGGTAGTATCAAGCTTAGTGAATGTCCTTTTTAAAGCCCAGAGGGTTCGAAACCCCTTAACTGCGACCTCCCGGCAATGGGCCGTCGTCTTAAGATCATTGCTCACTGTCACCCCTAGGTCCTTATGAGACCGGACTATGGGTAATGACACATCCCCTATGTTGTACGTATTAACCTTTGAATCCCCCAAGTGCATGTAGACACACTTTTCCGAGTTGATAGGCATTAGCCACTCTTTAGACCAGTTTATCATATTATTTAAGTCCGCCTGAAGAGTAAATGCGTCTGTGTCACCAGTTATTACTCGCCAAATTTTTACATCGTCAGCGTATAATAACATTGGAGACTGTACTATACTTGTAAGATCATTAACGTACATTATAAAAAGTAAAGGACCTAGGACGGAACCTTGGGGTACTCCACTAAGTACTGGTCTCCAGATGGAGCACTTGGAATTTATTCTTACTTTTTGCCTACGACCTACTAGGAAATCCTTAATCCATTTTAAAAGAGGTCCGGCAACACCAAGGTTTGCCAACTTCAATAGCAGTCTATTAGTTGGCACCTTGTCAAAAGCCTTACTGAAGTCTATGTAGACAACATCCACTGAGTTTCCGTTGTCTAGCGCATTAATCCAGAGCTCCCTAGCTATAAGGAGGTTCGTTGTACAGGATAGACCCTTTCTAAAACCATGTTGTGCCATGTTCAGCAAGTTATTGGTTTCCATAAATGCCGTTATGGTCCGTTTGATTATCCCTTCCAGTATTTTAATTACAACACTGGTGAGGCTTACGGGTCTGTAATTTGATGGAACTTGTCGTAGACCAGTTTTATGTATGGGAGTGACGATTGCGTCCTTCCAGTCCATAGGTAACACACCTTGGTCAAGTGACATTTTGAATATCACAGTCAGTGGGGCTGCGATATATTGGGCAATATGTCTCAAGATTTTAGGGTGTAGTTCATCTGGTCCTGTTGACTTCTCCATGTTTAGGGTGCTAAGAGCCTTAAGCACATCGTTTTGGTCGAAGTCCACGGTGAGCAGCTGGTTTGTTGACTCTGTAATTGGGTCTGGTTCTTTCTCTAGAGGAGGTTCCTGAGTGAAAACTGCCCCAAAGTAGTCAGCCATAATCTCAGCTTTTTCCTGATCTTCCTCTATCATTTCAGATTTACTTCCTACTTTAATTAGGTTGGGAATCCAGTGATGAGTCCTTGTTCTGTAGTTTATGTACGAGAATATCCTCTTGGGCTGCTTGAGTGCAGATTCTGCCAGCTGCATTTCGTATTTTCTTTGCGCTTCCCGAATTTTAGTTGTACACACGTTTCTTATCGATCTGTAGCGTTCCATCGTACCTGCTGTGCCAAGGAGGATGGCAACATCCCAGCATTTCTTCTTTTGTCTTAGTAAGCGTCGAATATCCCGCCCTAACCAGGGATGTCCGTGCTTCTTTTTCTTTGGGACAGTCCAGGGTATATATGGTTGAGTTACCCGATTGTATAACTGTCTGAATAGAGTCCATGCCTCTTGTACTGATGCCTTTGAGTCAATTTCCCAGTTCTCAGCCGATGCTGCGGAGTTAATTGCCTGCATATCTGCCTTCCATATGTTAGGACGGGCCGGCGCAATTGTTTGACAAGCAATCTCAGCCATGAATTTGAATAAGATGACTGCATGGTCACTTCTCCCAAGTGGTGGGAGAAAAGCCTTTTGACCAACGTCATCACCGTGCGTAAAGACTAAGTCTAAAAGAGAAGAAGAGTTTCTTAAGTCGTACCTTGTGGGATCTCTAATGTGTTGGAATAATGCTAGTCCAATCGAGGTTTCTAACAGTTTGGAGTCGAACGACGATATAGATGACTCTACTTCTAAGTTAACCCAGTTTATATATGGTGCATTAAAGTCGCCTACTACAAGGCTTTTACCGTTGTTACACCAGGACTTAAGTTTACTGAGGAGAAAATCATCTGCTACACATTCGGGACTGCGATAAACTACAACTAATTCAATATCTTGCCTTCGGCATTTCAACTTACATCTCACCAGTTCACATGTCCCTGAAACATGTGCTACTGTCTCAGCTAATCTTATGGTTAGGCTACTTTTCGTGTACACAATAACCCCGCCTCCCCTTCGGTTTAATCTATCAGCCCTACTGGTTATGAAACCAGCCAATTGGATTTCACTATCTAATACTTCTGACGTTAACCAAGTTTCCGAGACAGCGATAACGTCCGGTTTTTCTTTATCCACCACTGACTTCAGCTCCGCCATTTTATTTAGTTGGCTGCGAGCATTTGTGTAGCACACTTTTAAGTCTGTGGAGAGCTTTCCCTTGCCACCCAGAGTGGCTTGGGGATCGTTTTGCTCCGAAATTTTACAATATGAAAACCCTTAAGAACGAGGTTTCTTTCACCATTTCGGCGACGCTCGTTTATTTCCGCTTCTGCAGCCCTTCTCTTAATACGATCAGCTAGGCTGAGGTCCTTACGGACATATATTCCGGACCCAATCAGTTTACGTGAATTACTTAGAACCAGGTTCCTTTCTTCCACCGTGTTGAATGTAACTGAGATCTATGGAAGTTGCAACTTCTGAAATATTTTCATTTTCCTATGCAGTTGCATCTTTACCTGGCGTGAGGGGACTAGTCATATACAGAAGGCCATTCCCATGTTCCTAAGAGATTTACGCATGTGTCATGCATCTCCTCGACTAATACAATACTCTTATATACAAGACACAGATTTTGAGGACAAACGTTTTGCAATTTTTCACTAAATTTGAAAGCTAGACCTTTCAAACATCGTTGTAATTCACTGGGAATTATGTCAGACACTTAATTGAATAACCATGTCATACGCTACAAAAGATCTGGTGCCCATCCAGTGAAATCAAACGTCAGAAGCGGGGATGTTCATAGACGTATTTGTTAGTCTGTCAATATATCAAGAAGTGACTGAAGTTAACTGGCTAGTTGTTGCAGGAGAAGTTGAGCACGGCGTACTCACTCGTGGCCTGGTGCGGATGCGTGACTGAAAGCCTTCAGCTAATGCGAGTCCATTAA